TCTCTCTCTCTCCCTCAAAAATAAATAATAAAAAATAAATAAATAAGGAGCGCCTGGGTGGCTCAGTCGGTTGAGCGTCCGACTTCGGCTCAGGTCATGATCTTGCAGTCCATGGGTTTGAGCCCTGCGTCGGGCTCTGTGCTGATAGCTCAGAGCCTGGAACCTGCTTCGGATTCTGTGTCTCCCTCTGCCCCTCCTCCACTGGCTCGTGCGCACACGCTCTCTCTCTGTCTCTCTCTCTCTCTGTCTCTCAAGAATAAACATTAAAATAATAATAATAAATAAATCCTTAAAATAAATAAAATTTAAAAAATATAACTTCTTTATCAACATAGCTATTGCCTGAAAATATATTCTAACATGTCGTGACACGTCTCCTTAGGAAATCTTCACTTTAAAAGAACAAATGTATGGCTGGTACCTCTTTGGCGACGGTGTGCCAGTGAAGGTGGGTTTCACAAACATCCATCCTCTCCTGGTGTAAGAATTTGCATTTGTCGGGAACAAGGAGGGCATCACTTACAAACTCGCCAACTGCAAGAAAGGAAAACACTTCGTGTCATTCCATCTGCATCACAGATGTCTTATCACTGGGCTGATATCAAGCAAAGAAGGGCTAAAAGTACTTCAGAAGTTATACAGCTTTTTGAATGACCAAGTAATCAATCCAGTACTGAAAGACAAGTACTGTTACAATGTAGAGTCCTGTGTCCTGAGCCCAGTTTCTTGCTATATCAACCTTGATAGTTAAAATACTTCCTACATGGGGCACCTCGGTGACTCAGTCGATTAAGCTTCTGATTTCAGCTCACATCATGATCTCGCAGTTCTTGAGTTCGAGCCCCATGTCAGGCTCTGTGCTGACAGCTTAGAGCCTGGAGCCTGTGTCACATTCTGTATCTCCCTCTCTTTCTCTGCCCTCCCCTGCTCTCTCTCTCAAAAATAAATAAACATAAAAAAAATTAAAAGAAAATATTTCCTACATGTTTTAAGCGAAATCTTTATGTAATTAACATATATCTCTGACTGCAAAGTTAATCATGCAAAAAGGCTTCTAGTGAATTACAACGAGGAGGAAAAAAATGCAGATTGACACTGTCTGGGCAATCATTTGAGTGGAGTCAATATAAATAATTATTCATCCCTCCCTCCCCTTCTTGGACATTTAATCTGTTTGTAAACTATTACAAAAGTTAGCATTTTTCTACTTCCTAAAATTATAGACATACATATGTTTATATATGTGACACACACACAGAGATGAATTCAATTAAATTATGAAGACTGTGCCTTAGACTTTTGCCGTATTTTTAAAGAAAATGTGGATCATGCAAATTATTTCTAGCATTCCTGGTACCATAGATATAATAAAGATATTACATAAAGTCCTACAAGAATGCTTACATTCTTATGAGGGTACAAGTTGGATAATTCCAATATGTAAGCTACAGGCTTAGTTTTTTATTTGTTTTGTTCACTGGAGTATCCCCAGATTAAAAAAAAAAATTAATGTTTATTTATTTTTGACAGAGAGAAAGAGAGAGAGAGAGAGCAAGCAGGGGAGGGGCAGAGAGAGAGGGAGACACAGAATCCGAAGCAGGCTCCAGGCTCTGAGCTGTCAGCACACAGCCCAACACGGGGCTCGAACTCACAAACCGCGAGATCATGATTTGAGCCGAAGTTGGACACTCAACCGACTGAGCCACACTTAGTATCCCCCAAGTATCCCCAGCTTTTAGCATAGATTCTGTACACAACAGGCAGCCGGTATCTTGATGAAGACACAAAATGCTGTAACAGAGATAAAGAAGAGATGTAACAGATGTAGACTGGGCCCAAAGAGTGAACACATCCGCTTGGAGGCACTGGGGAAAAACTCAAAGTAGAAACAACATCAGAGATGAGTCCAAATGGATACGTGGGAGGATGCCGTGTAGAAATGAATGGAAGTTCCATGATGTAAGGACAGTTACCTGTCTTGTTTAACATTCAGCTCCCAATCCCTGGCCCAGTTCTGGCAGACATGACCATCCTGGAGAGATGGATGGATGAATGGCAAAAGGCCCTTCATAAGGACGGAATTTCTTGTGTAAAAAAAGAAAAAAGGGCAAGGGTATTTGTAGAGGAGACAAAAGCACAATATGGCTGGAATACAAGGTGAGTGGATAAGGGAGTCCAGAAGTAAATGAGGCTGGAGAAAAACGTTGGACTCCCACCTGGAGAATTTAAGGTTCTAGATACCATTTTGGAGGCAACATAAGCCAAAAGATACTTTAAACAGGAATGACACGCTCAAGTTTGTTTTTCCGAGAAACTCTTTTATCAAGCGAGCGTAGGTAGACCAGGAAAGCAGGGAGACCACGGAGTAGGGTGCTGCCATCCTTTGCGCAAGACATGCAAGAACATATTTAAACCAATGACTCCAAATAAGATATAAAAGTTGTCCACACTCCAGCAAAGAACATATTTTCTTCTTTCACAGTGTGTTAACATAAAATATTCTGAAATGCACCCTGAAGAGCAATAAAGGCCCTCAGAGGGGGGCAGAAAAAAAACTTGTTTATTCCCGTTATAGAAAAGGGTTCTTTAAAACTTTCTATAAAGGCACTTAAACTTTAGTCGGTTTGTGGCTCAAACATGCAAGATGTTTCCTGATACTTAAGCACTTAGTCTAATTAATAATATTTATATAAAAACCTAACCAAATCATAGAGGATAAAGAGCCTTTCATCTTGTCATTCCTTAAATCTTTTAAGACAGTCTATGATGCTCCGAGCAACGTATTGTGAGTCACAGAGAATGCAAGAAATATGAGCCGTCAAGGGCTGCAAGTAGGGGGCGTGGCAAAGGAACCCAGGAGTCCTGGGCACCTTGGACCCACACACCTAGTCACATACGTCACTGCACCTCAGCGTCACAACAGCCATGCGCAGACCTTTTATAGTATCAATCTCACTTCCCGCGGGAGAAAAGACTGCCAAGACACGTGCTGAAGGCCACCTACTCTCAGGAGATGATAACCTAGTCCCGGACATGAACGTTTAGATGTACAGTATAGGGAAGGAAATAACAATAATGCAAGTGACATCACGTTTTCCCTTTTCTTTTACATAGAATACGATCAAACAAAACAAAAATAACCAAACTAAAATCCAGAGGAGATGGAGAATGGAAAATAAAAGTAATCTCATCCAAAGCCAATACACCTTCCCCAGGTGGACTCTTGATGGTTTCTCAGGAAAGGCAGTCAACTGTAGCTGTTAGCAAGAATACGTGATATCTCAGCATCCCAATTTTCAAGGCCACAGGAGGCCAGAAGTGATCAAAGGCTTGAAGATATCTCCTTCATTTATTGGCTCTGGTCAGTCAAGCCATACCGCCATATTCACAAATGTCCAACCACTAAGTGCTCTTTTTTTTTTTTTTTTTTTTTTTTTTTTAAATTTTACAAGTAATTATTGGAAAGACAAATGCCTGGCCCAAGGCTATTAAATCAGTTCATGAGACAATAAGGAGCGAATATTGGATACTCTCAACCTTGACCTGAAAGAGTTCTTGCGGCATAAACTGGCTAACAGCTCCCAAACAGAAGGTCTTGTTTTACTTGCCTTTAGGCCAGTCTGCAGAAGACTAGATTTTCATGCAAAAAGCCAAAGTGGTTGAAAGATACTTGCCTTGGTAAATGTCATGTTCATCAAAAGGACACGTATTGCATTAATTTGTAAAAAGATATTAGAATTTTTTTAATTTGCAAAAGGAGCCTCCATTTAGCATTGTAAAGATGCTCTTGGGCTTCTAACAATGTATATAGCCAAGAAATATATGCCTCCTCAAATGAAATTGCTTTTTTTTCCCCAAGGATAAATACTGGCTATTTAATAAGCCCTCAGGACTAATGGCAAAATAGGAAACTCACTGTACTCTAACATTAAAATAAAATTTGGCAATGACTTGATGGTTTTACAGCCCTGCTTAAATTATTACTTTCAAAATTGATGAAACATACTAGAATGTTCCACATCAGAAATTTTAAGCAATTAAACCACAAAAATCTGTTAACAATTTTTAATAAAGAATTAAAAAGGAGTGGTAAAAATATAACAAATCCATTCTCACAAGCTAGTTTAGCTTAACACGGCCTATATTCTTTCCCCTTTTAATTCTAAAAGAATTATTCTTCAATGTCTAAAAGAATTATTCTTAAATGTCTATGATACAACTGGAGACACATGGGAACTCTGTACTTTGCGTTCAGTGCTGCTGTGAATCTAAAATTGCTTTAAAAAATAGTCTTTTAATTAAAACAAAACAAAACAAAAAAAACCCTGACAGTATTTACCTGGAGTTTCTGTATGAAACATATTTTTTAAATAAACCTTCTGGTTTTCTTTGGTTTGATCTTTCAGGTAAAAAACAAAAATAAAACCAAAACCAAAACCAAAAATACACACAATTTTTAAAAGAATTCAAGTGAAAGCGATCAAAATAAATTAAGTACCATAATGAGAAATCAGATTCCTGTTAATGCTGACCTCTGGGGCATTTGGCACCATTTAATCCTAGGGACAAATTCATCAGTATATACTGTGCACATTTATGAATAAGCATACAATCTGGTTTCTTGTTGAAAAAAATTCACAATTTATATCACACACACACACACATACACACACACCACACACACTCCAACTGAAAGGGGATTTTCAAAGCTAATGAACAAGATCTGGGTTTGGCCAAAAAGTCTTGGCAAGATGCACAATGATGCCCAGTTCAACCGGGACTCTGCAGGCCTTAAATCCACTGGCTCCTTGGTGGTCTTGGAGAGGATTGTCTAGCTCAAATTACCTCATTCTGCAGATGGGAAGTCAAGTGGCTTGCCCACAGAGCCAGTTGGCGGTGGAATTGGCCTAAAAATCTGAGTCTCTAAGCTTTTCATCCAGGAGTGGTAACTCAACTCATTGTTTAAACTCTGGTTGAAATGGGTTATTTGGCAAATTCTCTTCGGCTTTTATAAAAGCAGATTCACTTTTAGACTAGAAAGGGCTGAAATGCTATAACCGACGATGCAGTCTATTTGACGATAAAACTAGACTTAAATTACCTGGCAAGCCACATAAAACAGCTGGGGATGCACTGCACGGCATACAACAGGACACACGATGAGCAGTGGCTTAAAGACACGACGGGGTTCTTTCTCTCACACAAGAAGTCTGGTACTGAGGCTAGGGCTGCTAGACATTTTCAATGATGCACTCATGGTCCAGGCTAGTCCCATCTTTCTGTATTGCCATCCTTAGCACGGTGGTTTTTGTCTTCATGTTCCGTGGTCAAAATGGCCACGGTAACCGAAGTCTTCATTTCAAGTCCAAGTTGCACGCAGGAAACAGGAGGAACAGGCCAAGGGATGATGGCTTCCTGTCTGTTTTCCTGCCCTAATGCAGCTTGGCTGTTTTACACGGGATGGACACCCTCCTCCCCATTATCTACATCCTACATGCCAGCACTATGTTATCTGGCCGCACTCAGCTGCAAGG